CAACAGCAATAAGGCTTTTAGTGATGTTTTAAGAGAGCTGCTGCTGTCCATCTTTCGACCATTAAGTTTTCTTAGTTAAGTCCCCTTTTACGACACCCACGGGACAGGAAGGGGTGATCCATTCCATCCCGAAACTCTTATATTTAATTTATGCTTTGTTTTGTTTTAGAAAATAGGTTGAAGGTACATAATTTAGCTCATATAATAGTGATCTACGACTCAGCTCTTGTTTCCGCATAACAACAAACCTACGATTCAAGAAAATAAGTATGTAATTAAATTATAACAGCAGTTTATTCAAGATTTCACTAGAAAACCAAAATTTTGGATTATTTTAGAGAACATTTAAAAATTTATATCATCGTACCCTGAAATGTGACGTCTTTATCCCTAAAATCATTCAATTTTAGAGAATAAGTGAATGAGTCCCCCTAAATTACATTTGGGTCCAATATAAACTTTGGCCTCTGTTTAAAATTTGACTATTGGAAAAGTAAATAAATTCGATTAAACAAATTAACTTTGTGAAATAATTGTGAGGGATTTAGAATTTTCAAAAGTAAGTAGTAAATTGTTTCTGAGAACACCTCAATATAGCTGTCAATTTATAGAATTATTAAATATTTTAATTGTACCGACAATTACAGAAAAGTTTCGTATCGTTAGTTATATATGGGGAGGATTATTTATATTTGGCAGTGGACGGTTAAAAGCTGAAATTATGCTGATGTTCAAATAAACATTAATTTGTAATATCAATTAGAATGTTCATATATTCAAATTAATATATTATAGAATGTATCATGTTCCTAATATCTCTATAGGCTAACATTTAACGAACTTAAATTTAAAACTCAGTTACAACTGTGAATGTACTGATAAAACCGGCATCGTACCCGTTGAAATTAAATTATAACTACTCTACGCGAATGTAAAATTAACACAAAGTTTCAGTTATTTTATATTCCAGTTTAATTACTTTGGGCACTTTGGTTTAATTTTAAATATAAATTGAAAGGGCAGCCTTTTATATTTCGCTATTTTAAACTGTACCTACTTTCAAATGATTGCCAAAAAAGAACCTTCTCAATTCGTTTTATTATTTCAACACTTAACGGTCCATGGCTGAACATAAGCCTTCCCATAAGGAGAGTTTTGTCAGTAGTTTTTTTTTAATGGGTGATAATGGAATGGTAACTCCACCCGCACTATTGGTATACACTGGCGGGGCACGAGTGAAGGATGATAGGTGAGGATGAAAGCAGGTCAGATAGCCCATCTTGACGAATTTAATTAGAATTAGCCACAATGGTTTCCAGGGGGAACCACGTGGAGGTCGAATTGACAGGGTATATTACTAGTAATGAGGCTGTTTGACGCCATTACTAACAATCCCTTTCCACCCCAATTTTGCCAGTAGTTGCCACGCTTGGCAGGCGGGTTGGCAACCGCAGCTAGGCTTTTAGAGATGTTTTAAGAAAGATGCTGCTGCATATCTCTCGCCCTAGTATTTATTATACTTGGATGTATTTATAATCATCGAAATGGGTTCAGAGCTGTAGGTGATATCGCATGACAAACATGCAGTAATGCATAAATAAATACAGTTAAATTGAGATCTATCTACTTTGATTCTATCTCTTTTGAAATTCTCATAAAGCTCATATATTTAGCGATTTTATTGCCATCGACAGCATTTATCTATTTGCATATTTTTTTATGTTGATTTTATTATAATTTTAAGATTAATTGTAAGAGATCCCTCTGGTGGATAAGTCCGCCATTGTATATTAAATCTTTTAATATGTCCTAAGTAAATTATGTACAATAAAGATTTTACAATACAATTTTATTGCAATGAAAATACTGTTTTTTTTTTGTAGAAATCTTAAATTATTAGAAGTAAATGTACATAAATACCTATACATATATACATGTAATTCTAACGAAGCAAGGTCAAACAGTTTAATCTCCGTAAATATTTTTGCCCCTGCGTTATTTTCTCTTGTTACAATATTAAGAAGAAAGTTACCAACTCGTTTGCCAACTTTTGATAGCTTTTTAGAACTCTCATTAGAATTTCTTGCTGTATTCAACCATTTCGAAGGCAAAATATACAATTTAATACGTACATTTACCAACAACAAAAGTACTAAATATAACTTTTACATACGTATGGCGCATATGTTTACGTAAATGTTCAAAGGAATAATTTGTAGATAATAATACACAGTAGAGAATATATGGTATTATTTACATAGGCTGTGTGTAGCATTACATGAGCAGTACCATGGACATAATGGACATAACAGAGTATACTGTTTCGCCCATGCGTTGCCATTCCTGAGGACTCAGGTGTTATTCCTCTGTACCCAGTAAATTCACGCCATATCCCACCCTTCAAATCGAAACACAGCTATGCAAACACAACTGCTTCACGTTTGAAACAAGAATGGGACAGAGGTACCCAAGCAATCGACTTTTGTATAAAGTCTCCCTCTGGTGAAATATACGCTATTTTTATGTTTTCCATGGAAATTTAAATATTTTATCTAAGTAAAAAGTATCCTATATGTTGAGTCAAGTATCATCATCATCTTCCTACTTTTATCTCAATTATTATTTGGTGTCCGCGAAATATGTTTTTTTTTTCCATTCTTCTCTATTCCTAGCCATTTCCGCATTCACTCCCATGCTGGTCGGATCATTACCAAGTATTAAATTATCATTATAACAAATTTCACTCAAAATCTCTTGAAGTAACCTCTAAGTAATTTTCAAAATAATGAGGTATCCAATTCAATGAGACTATTTTCTGCAACTACGTATGTTACACGTTTACGTCACCAATTTATAACCTGTTTTAAAAAGGCTTTATTTGTTCAGAACATTTTACTCCCGTATTGGTCTCATTTTAATTTCTTGACTCTTGAAGCCGCCATTTCTCTTTGCGGAGGAAAAAATGTTTTTTGAGAAGCAAATTTGTTTGTAGACATAAAATTCCGCTTTGTATAATATTCAATAAAGTTCAAATTTTATTTGGGGTGGGAGAAATTGTTCTATATGCATTATTAAACTGAATACCATATCAGCCATTAATTGTCCTCTACTGAACTTAGGCCTCCCCCTATTGGGGGGTTTTGCCAATAATTGCCACATATGGCAGGTGGTTTGACAACCGCAGTTAGGATTTGGTGATGACCTACCTATTTATGCTTTAATTCCTTCTACCCAAAGGTTGTCTGGAAGAGATTGCTTAGCAATAAGACCGTCTTTTGTACTACACTATACTTATTGAAAATTGTTCAACAAATCCTTTTATGTTGGTGCAATAAAGTGTTAAATAAATAAATAAATGTTTTAAGAGCGGTGCTGTTACCTATCTCTCGTCTATGAAGTTCTCTTAGTTGCCTCATCACACCCACGGGAAAGGAAGGGGCGACCCATTCCATACTGGGACCATATGGCATAGAATTGATGAACATACTTAAATATTCCTATTTATATTAAATACATATATACTTCTACATCGCTTTACGTCATTTTATGTGGGTCAAAATGTCATCGTAAACTTTTACGACACTGTCCTAATTAGCCGACATAAGAAGTCGTTACGGGCAATGGCTCGTATGGCCTCGAATCGATAAATTGCAAGCGTCCCACTTACAGTCTAATGCAACCGTCCTTTTATATAGGCCATATCCCCCGCTACGTCACGCGAGTTGAGTAGAAGCGGATGGAAAAAACTTTTATCATTTGTATTATCGAGTGCCTAGCTAGTTTTGAACTGCTTTATTAACACGAAATCCATTATTTTCCGTTCCTGTGAGAATTTCAGGAAATTCTCTTTAGTTGACATTTATACCCCATAATTTGTCTGCCCAATTTTCACTACGTATGTTAAGTGGGTAGTTTTTGACGATTATTCTGAAAGTTAATAGTATTTTGCTTATAAAATATTCTGTTGTGTGTTTAATTATAGCTCCTATCTATTTATATATAGGAATTAAAACCCATTTACACCTACTTAGTCAAACATTAGTTGAGAAGGAAAAAATCTATCGATTTGTGTAAGTAGCGATAACTACCAGCTTTATTCCGTGGTTGTGTTTGCATTAAAAAGTATATAAAGTATCCTGTCTGTTAAGTTAGTATACAACCTATCCATGTATTAAATCTCATTAAAATCTGTTTAGTAGTTTTTTGCGTAAAAGAGTAACAAATATCTATCTTTCCATCTATTACTACAAATTTTCGCATCTTTAATATTAATAAGATTACAATATTAAACACAATAGGTAGGCACACTATAATACTAATTTCACCAATATGTATGAATGTGAAAATTATTAAAAAAAAATAGTCACTTTTGCATTATCTACCCATTTATATCTACTCTTCATTAATTAAGGTATTCTGTAAGAGATTGCCCTAGCGATAAGACCGCCTTTCGTACCTTGTGTTCTATTCTATAATTTGATCTCTGCTTTATCCTACTGTATTATAATTGAATTTTTTGCTATTGTATATTTTTATATATTATGTACAATAAAAAGTTAAATATATATATATATATATATATATATATATATATATATATATATATATATATATATATATATATATATATATATATATATATATGTGGACAATAAACAATTTCTTCTAGGGGCAAGAGAATAGCAATGGAACGTACTGTGTAGACAATCAAAAAACATAATTTCTATAGTGAATTCGTCACGACGGTCTAATCGTTCTGTTTTCATTCCCATCAATTGTACCCTACTACCGTAAATGTAACACACGTAGGGTTGCTGTTCCTTTTTCATCCCTTTACATTAGCTTTTCCCTGACGGGATATTGAAAATGGACGACGCGATGCTCGGAAATTACTAACCCAGAGCAATTTAAATGCAATTGCATTTTATGTTGCAGAAAGTAGATCTAATACTTGAAATTGCTTTGTTTTTTAATGTCTTTTAATTTACTTTGTCAATCAGGGCCGCAACGGTCTCGGCAACATTTATGTATGGGCCAGTGGCGACGGTGGTGAGGACGACGACTGCAACTGCGATGGATATGCCGCTTCCATGTGGACTGTCTCAATCAACAGGTATTCAACTATCTTCAAAATCGTAATTTGTAATAATAATACTTATTTATTTTATACTTATATTATTATTTTAACTTCAAAGTTTCCCAAGTTTGCAAGCTTTTATTCATGAGCAAGGCCACGGTTGTGTTGCGAGCAACACAGTGCGAACAACACAGTGCGAACCCAAGTTTGTCAAGTACACCCCAAGGCTTATTTATTGGCATTTAAAATTCAGAGATATTTAATAAGTGTAGATATATTGAGATATATATAGTAATTCATCTGAGTTAAAAATCTAATAGTTGTACAAATTAAATTTAGCTGAACTGCAAATTGATACTAAAATTATAGACAAAAAAAAACCAGTTTGTACTCACGGGTATTTAAAATGTTAAATTAAAAGTTTATAATAAGCCTTAGGGAACAGAATCTACTACAGTTACTATTACCTAATCTGTGATTAGAATAATAAAGAAAAAAAAATGTATTATAAATATTTATATTTTAAGTTAAATTGGTATAACAAAATATAACTAAGCTGTAAAGTCAAACTCAGATCAAGGAAAAAGTTGGTGTTATCTCGTATTAAGAGGTGAAGAAACTCGCTGAAAACGTAGTGAGTGACAAGAGCACAGCTCTTAAATAGGAAATGAAATATAAAATCAAACGACAATTGTCGAACGCATTTGAAGAAAAATAGGATGAACATGGAAACAATAGGTATAACGTGTTCAAGTTATTTACATCAAAGCGTTGTCTTTCAGTTTACAACCCGATAATGACAAGTAATTAACAACGAATCCCTTCTATTCAATTTATTGGAACCTCTCTTGTTCTTTGAAGGACGGGCCACACGCTTTTGTGGAGCATTACATTTGTTTACATATACAAGTATGTCCCATTACATATTCCGGGAAGTAACAAGACTCTTCAGAAGCAGAAGTGTATGAAATAATGAAATTTTACAAGCATCTTTACATCTTATTTATATTGCCATTATTAATAGTTCTTAAAGTCCACTAAAATATAACTCTATATTCAGATGATTATACCTCAGATTATTTCAGCGCAATCAACGACGGTCAGAATGCACATTACGATGAATCCTGCTCGTCGACTCTTGCAAGCACGTTCAGTAACGGCGCTCGAGATCCAAGTACAGGTGTTGCTACCACGGATTTGTATGGCAAATGTACCGCGACGCATTCTGGAACATCGGCAGCTGCCCCTGAAGCAGCTGGAGTGTTTGCACTCGCGTTACATGCCAAGTAAGTAACCTCTGGATTCTATGCTAATAATACTTATAATATAAAACTGCATCGTTGATAGAAAATTGTCTATTTTCGCGCGAATTCCTTTTCAGGTTAGATAAAGAGAATCAAATGCCAAAGCCTTTTACTCTTATATCTCTTGCTTTATGCCCTTTCGTATCTCGTCTTATACTCATTTCAGTGACACTTAACTCTCTCCTAAATCAGAACACGGTTTGTCTGATTATAATACTAGTTGGAACATCGAGGTTCACCCTCGATAGTGACTTGAAGTCATTTCATAAGTTGAAGTATGCAGGATATTTAGAACATGCCGCCCTTAAAGAGATTGGTATTAATTTCTTTTAAATATTTGTTTTATTCTTTTTTCTTTTTATTACATTTCGTTAGAAGGCGAAGTATTTCTTCAACTTACCCACAATAGTCAACATTCCTGGATTTGAAGAGGACAAATAATAAGCTAGCAAAACCCGGAAGATATTGTTTTGCTTCATCATCATTATATTTGCCATTATCTGTCCCATAAACTGCTATAAGGAATGGTCCTGAGTCACCTCTATTCACTGACTTCCTCTAATGCATTTGACGTCGTCACTCTAATGGAGGATCGTCCTACATTGCGTATGTGTGCCCGTACGGGGTCGTCATTCAAGAACCTTTCTTCTTCATTGGTTCTGCTTGTTTGTAATTATTTACCTTTAATTTGTAGATAGTCTATTTAAAAACTACTAGGTAGCGTTAAATAAAACTACCTATCGCAATTTTTTTTGTGGTAGACAGTTGTTTATGTTATTGCAGCTTGTCATGTAGTGACTAGTTACAATAAGTAAATTAAAAATTGTTGAATAATAACTATCGTAAATCATACTGTATTGTGATTATTTATGTCGGTTTTACTCATGTTATAAATTTGGAAATGTCTGACTAGATTAGAATTCAATAGAAATAAGGGCTTCTATTGAGTTTGAACCTAGTCGGGCATTTCTGAATTTAAAACGTGTGTAAAGCCGACATAAATAATTACAATATAATAAAAAATTCTTCATGACAAATTACAAATATGTGACAATTTTTATGGTGTTCCATTAAGTGGATATTGAAGTCTACTAATCTCAAATATAATAACATAAACCATTTTTTTTCAAATCATATCGAAAAAGAAGTTAAATAGTACAAAATATAAACTTTTTTTATACCACTGAGGTGGCAAACAAGCATACGGCCCACCTGATAATAAGCGGTTACCGTAGCCTATGAACGCCTGCAATACCAGAGGTATTACGCGCGCGTTGCCGACTCTGAAGAAACCTCTTTACCCCCCTTTTGAAGAACCCCATGTGTTTATAAAGTATTAAGTACCTACAGCATTCAAAAATATTAATATCAAAATAACGCTGCGAAACGTCTGTATCGAACAGGTATCAATATATCACGAGTGCCTACGCCCGAATCGTGTTACGTATAAATAGCTCATCCATTGAAACCATCACAATACCCAACCCTTCTATACTTGAAATGTATCTAGATAAACTTAATGCCACCATTGTTGATATTATGGGAATTTATAAGAGTTTCCATACTGTCAGTTGTTTGATTAAACATCTATTGTATAAAGAAATCTATTTGTGAAAACTGTGAGAAAAATGATGACGTACTTCGACATGTAATTACTTTAGAAGTTAGCGAATGTTTCATTAATTAATAGACCGAAAGGTGAATCAAGTTGTAATCATTGGGTTGTATTTGGTTTCGCTTTTCTTCAGTGGCCAATTAGGTTGAACAATCAATAACAATTAGGTGCGAACTTAGGCGTTTTAGACTTTGTGTTGGTAAGATATTAATTATAACGAAGTAGTCCAGGTGCTAATTGAAATGTGTAGAATGAAGTCTAAATCATAAGCATTTGTTGAAAGGAATGTTGTTGTTGTAAATCATTGTTGTACATATTTTACATTGGACATTATTAAGCAGAGCTAACATACAATGACAGACTAATCCCATTGTGAAATCTCTTACGATTAAAGTTTGAGAATCTAAAAGAAATTTATATAATATTTTATTAGTTAAACTGTATATCTCAAAGAAACATATACGTAAGTGATGATAGAAAATGTTAAGCCTCCTATACAACTGTAGCGTATCCAGATATAAATAAACAAGGATGCCAATGCTTTTCTTCTTACAAAGGCTTCGCCTGGTATACATTATTTATTTTTAAGCGACTTCAAAAAAAGAAAAGGGTTAAAAATCTCATCAGTCAATCTCATTCAGTAGTTTTTTTACATATATTACCTCAGAAATCCGTCATTTATAAACCGATTTGGATAGTTCTTTTTTATCTAAAACGATATATAGTCATACTTTCAGATCAGAGATTTTTATATTTAAAAAGTAGTTGGTTTTGCCACGATTGAAGTCGGTGTTTTTATTATAGAATAAAATGTTCTTGTTATAACAATTGAGCTACTTTGTCTTTATAATAATAATAATTGTCTTTATCTATTAATATCAATAACTAATTAGTAATTAGCCGTTCCGCGCCTTTGTCTGTGCGGAATTAATTATCTCTTATTTTCGTGAGAATTTGGAGAAATCTATTCTTAGTGTTCCTCGCCATGTAAATAAGAAATTATTATGAACAATTTTTAGTTTACCTTTTCTATAAATATTTAATTAACAAGGAACTTGTAAGTTTTACGTAAGTTTATGTAACGGATGGAAAGACTATTTAATTCATGTTTCGCTCGCTCGAATCGTAATGACAAAATACGAGTTTATAAGTCTCAAGTCAGTTAATATTCCGGTTTTTTGTGGTGACCTAACAAAGTAACGAATATTTATCATTGTGTCAGCCGTTAATTGTCCACTGCTCCACATAACTTCCCTTATAAGGGGGGCTTTGCCGGTAGTTGGCATGCAGGCGGGTTGGCAACTGCAGTTTAACTTTTGGTGAACGCTCTCGTCCATCTCTCCCCAATAAGTTCCCTTAGTCTCCTCTTACGACACCCATGGAAAAGGAAGGGATGGCCTATTCTATGCCGGGTCCTATACGGCGAAATAATCATCATGTTTTCATTCAAATTCCATTTAAATAATTAGGACAACAATTACCTATCTACGAATAATTAATATTATTCGTAGATAGATATTTTAGATATCTATCTACGTGTTATTTTGAAATTACTATTTTATTTTAATATTGTTACTGTTTTTCTATGAGTGACCTGCTCTCTTCCTCATCTATCACTGGTCCCCCGCCAACTTATACTAATAGCGCAGGCGGGGTTACCATTTCATTATCACCTATTAAAAAATAGCTGTATATACCTAATATACCTTGACGCTTTATTAAAATATTGTTTAATATTATATTATATTATATTATATTATAGGTTGTCTTGAAAAGATTGCTCTCAGCAATAAGACCGCCTTACTCTACTTATACAATTGTATCGTTGTGTTTGTAAATTGCCTTGCTTATTTCCTATATTGTATAATGCAAATAAAGTATACTCATTCATTCATTCATTCATTCAATATTTTTCTTTCAGCCCAAATCTAACATGGAGGGATATTCAACATTTGACCGTGTTGACTTCGAAAAGAAATTCTCTGTATGACGCAAAGGTATCCACATTACATATATTTTTAATATTATGATCTAATGCCAATAAAATTCTCAGTAAAAGAATATGTATTGTCTTTTACTAGGTACATAAAGGAAGTCAAATGCCAGAGGACTTTAAAATTCTAATTCATTTAATATTTGCAGGGCCGTTTCCATTGGACCATGAACGGTGTGGGCCTAGAGTTCAACCATCTGTTCGGCTTTGGGGTGCTGGATGCAGGGGCCATGACAGCTCTCGCCGCCAACTGGCGTTCGGTGCCTCCGCGGTATCATTGCGAAGCTGGCTCTGTCAATACTCACACGTAAGTATTATTAATATATCAACCGTTAAATGTCTACTGAATATAGGTCTTCATATTTTGCCAATATTTAATACGCTTGGCAGAAACAGTTTGGGTTTGGTGATGTTTTAAAAGGTACACTGCTGCCCAACTCTCGGCTATTTAGTTACCTTGTCACCTCTTAAACAAGTAAGTACACTATACAATTATTTGAGAGGTTCTAATAAACACTGATAGAGATAAATGGAACTGGTCATATTTTTAATAATAGTATGTTTAAAAATATTAATAAGCGGCCCGTCCTGGCGTCACAAGGATGGACATTTTTACATTTTAAAAAGTAGCCATTAAGGCTGCACACACTTAACTGCAACTTCTACCGTTTTCCCAACATTTCCCTTCACTGCTCTGCTCCTATTTATCGTAGCGTGATGAAAAGTACTACTATACTATAACCTGCCCAGGAGTACAAAGAATAATTGTACCAAGTTTCGTTTATATCCGTCGAGTAGTTTTTGTTTCTATAACGAACATACAGACAGACAGACAAAAATTTTACTGATTGCATTTTTGGCAACAGTATCGATCACTAATCTGTAATGAAATATATTTCCAAAATAACTATTAGGGGGTCCTAATAGTTATTTTGGAAATATATTTCATGTACAGAATTGACCTCTCTACAGATTTATTATAAGTATAGATTAGAAAAATAATAAGAAAAATTAAACCTCTCGATCCGACAGAATGCGAACCCAGATCACTAGTTTTGACTGCTACACGCCCGACGTAGTCATCACATTATTACATATATTATATTATATATATTGTATAACATCGGTAGATGGTACCTAAGTCGGTCATAATGACATTTGAAAAAAGAATTAGTTGTCACAAAACCAGTTATTTTGATTAATAAATAAAATGCTGAACCAATTTTAATTAATATTATAAATAGAATCAATCTTTAAGTATACACTTTCAGATAAAAAAGATTTTTCTAAATCGGTTTACAACTGACGGAATTATGTCGTAACAAACAATAAAATATAACCGAATTGAGTACCTTCTTTTTTTGGAGTCGGTTGAAAAATAATTGGAAATTTGCCGATTTAGTATTCCTTCTATGGTGTAACTAGAAATATATTCAACCCAGATAGCAGATAAATGTGAGTTCGATTTAAAAGTTCCTGTAATAAAAGGTGGCCTGTTAAATAAAAAATAAATAAATATTATGCTGTGTTATTGTGTTGCATTTAGAATGTTGTAAATTGTATGTTCCATATTTTTATAAATTTTTAAACTCAAGACAGTGAATTTCTAATGTAACAGGTGCACTATGTATGCACCATCTGTGCGTATGTTGGTAATTTGATTGATCAATGACAGGTTTCCATTATCCAGATGCGCTTCTAAGTAAGATAAACTTCAAGACAGACTGCCTTATAAATTGGAGTCACTTGGTGGGCTTGTATTGCAGTAAATATTTTTAGTAGATAGGTTTATTTTAAAATTCCTATGTTGCATTTCTACGCCGTTGATTTAAAAACATTCTAGGTTTTTTTTAAGGTCAATTCGATTTGAGAAGGATCTTTACAAAAAGATTTTTCGAAAAGTCATTATAAAATTTTGTATTTATGACATACTCATACTGTCAGTTAGTATTAACTGAGTTCACAGTATTGTTCATAATTTTAGATAACGGTTATTCAAATTCAAATCATCTTTATTCAAATAGATTCGTTTACAAGCACTTTAAATCCTCTTTTTTGCAGAGTTCGGAAGGTTGTTAACCCTTATTTAGGTTATTAACAGAAAAACCCGCAAAAAACTCAACAGTTACCCTTTTAAATCTCTCTTAACATTATGTGTATTTATTTAAATAGACTATATTTAAAATAACATGGTGGTTAAAAAACCCGTGCATGATCGACTAACAGCATGGTCATTTATAATTCAAGTTTAGAGTGTTCGTTTAGAGTGTAATAATTATTTTTTAACAACAATTTTAAACTTATTAAAAGGTAGGTCCAAAATGTCCTTCAGTATCTTATTAATAATATTTAATGCTTATTCGCATAAAAGACCTATTAACTTTTTCTACACGATATTTCAGAATAGCAAGTTTGATTTTGTATCTAGTGTTAAGATTATCGCTGTTCTAACGTTTATGGGCATGAACTGGGGGTTGTCAACTTGATGATCTCGGAAAGGTAAACAAGCTGATAGTCCACCTAAAGGAAAACAATGACTTCTGATATACCGCTCGCGGTACCCCTTATTTCTCCTCCTGATAACTAAATCGTATTACATCCATAATACGATTTAGTTTTAGTTACGTACAATCCTCAATAATTTAATTCCTGTATTCGAGATCTTTAACTCAAATTGAAAAATACCCATCTAACTATAAGTTCTCATTATCATATCAGCCGTTAACTCTTCATTGCTGATCATAGAACTCCCCCTATTGGGGGGTTTTGCCAGTAGTTTCCACACTGGCAGGCGGGTTGACATTCGCAGTTAGGCTTGGGTGATGTTTAAAGAGAGACGTTGCAGCCTATCTCTCTACCATTGAGTTCCATTAATCACCTCCTACGACACCCACGGGAAAGGAAGGAATTCCTTCTATACCGGGACCACTCGCCGAATAACCATAAATAGTTAGCGGTAAATATATCATTATTATATATGATTACTTTTTTACTATAAGTAAGTTGTAAAGAAAAAAATAAACAATAATTATTAATGTTATAAACACTCAAAAAGACGGTTTTGTACAGTTTAAGAAATGCACTATTATATATGTTTTTTTTACAGCGAGATTCCGTCAGAAGGCAGTATCGTTCTGAAGATCGACACGGCGGCGTGTTCAGGGTCCCCGAGCGAGGTGCGCTACTTGGAACACGTGCAGGCGGTGGTTAGCGCCAACGCCACGCGCCGGGGTGACCTCGAGTTCTTCCTCACCAGCCCGATGGGCACCAGGTGTGATTCAACATCATCAACTGTTAAAGCCGTTGACATATAGGCCTCTCCATATGGTAGGTCGGTATGTAGTTAGTCCCTGAGCCATTAACTCCCTTTACGTTGACTCATTGGAGATCGCTCCATTTAGTTGGGGACTGTCATCTACTGCGGGTGCCTACATGACAGTATCTCTATAGAATGTACGAAATTACAAAATGAAGTTATTAGTAGAAGAACCAAAGTGACCAATAAATGCCACGTATTTCAGTGAAGTAATAACAAAATTATTCCAAGATGGGTGACGATTTCTTTTTGTGTTTGTCTATTTTCTTTTGTAAAATAACGACAACGAAGAATATTTATTTATATTTACTTTAATATGTTATTTTTATTGTAATTATTTGTATTATTTGTATTATGTTATATTGTATGTTGTTTATTTATTTTACAATACGTTGCATATTTCACAATAAAAACAGACAAATTTTTATATTTAGGTAGGTAACACAACCCATTCGTTATATTGATGAAACGATCCGTAAAATTCACGTATACATATCATTTTTACTCATGTTGTGCTTATTCCAAAGAGAATTTAAATAAAAAAGCTATTATAGGCTACTTTCTTTGGAGATTTCGTTAAACTTGAACATGATAATTTCGTTGTTACTAAACATGATGTTAATAGATTTCTAAGTTAGGAAGGATTCTACTTTTTTTTGTATATGGGGTGAAATCAAATAGGCTTAGTCAGGAATGCTTATGGTTGAGAGGTATTATGGATTTATTATTATATTTATATTATATATTTAGTATTATTTCATGTCTATAGATAACTGTTACCTCTTTCCATTAAGTAGGTCGTTACTACTATTCCAAAATTAAAAAAAATACTGTACATTTCAGATCAATGATACTAAGCCGTCGGGCGAATGATGATGACTCCAGAGACGGATTTACCAAGTGGCCGTTCATGACGACACATACGTGGGGAGAGTACCCTCAGGGAACTTGGACATTAGAGGTATATTGTTTATTACTTAACTTCAAATGCGTTTAAAATCCAAGATACACAATCGGATACTAAAAATCCGCTCTTAAAATAGAGTGAATGCGCTCTATTCAGTGTCGATCAATTATTAAATTAAGTACTTGTTTTTGTACACATATACCTTTAATTATATAGATAGAGTGCTTCGAGAAAAACGGGTCAACTTTTTCATACAATTTTGCGTGATAAATAGTTATGAGTAATTCCTTTATAACTTCTATATTTATTTTGTCTTATAAATTCTGCATCTTTTTAATGCGTAAACACTCATTTTATTTATTAAATATTACGTTGAGATACATTTTATGTGTAAATATATCGAATACTGTTAAAAAAACGAGTCAGCTAATTTGACAATTAGCTGACAAAAAGTTGATTTGTTATTTGAGAATAGGTGCTCTATCTACAATATATAATCTAAGATATATACCTGTTATAGTGAGTTTAATTTGACAAGATAACTTAAAGTAATGAACGTCTGATATTGGATAAACAAATTAACAACCATGCCAAGTGGGGATAAGATCAAATATTGTCAAAGGTCCTTTGAGCCTCCAGGGAAATAAAGGGTTCACGGCCAACAACGTAAACAGGTACACGTGACGGTCTATGTAACACGAGAATTGTTGAACTGTATGTATATATTGGAATAATATATAGCGACGTAAATTCTCTTGTAGTATCTATCTACTGTGTAATCTTTTTTTTTTGTGTGTGTCGTGATATTCGCTCAGTAACTTATCGTACCATATAAAACAAGATTGACTTTTAAAATAAATTAAATTATCCTCATAAAATTCGAACTTTTCTTTCTTAGTTTAAATTTAGAACTTCGTACTTTAATGTCTCTATTCAGCCAGCAGCAGTTTTTTTTTAATTAATAAGTATTTATTTATTTTTAGGGAATTCTTATTTCTCTGAATAATTCAATAGGTACTAATTTTATTAATTATAATAAAATATTGGTTTAAAAATTAAACATGTCCATTAGTTATCTAAATCCAATAGTACCTACAAATTGTACTTAGTTTTCTATTGAATTATTATTTATTACAACAAGATAGGAAAAAACTTAAAAATTTTTAATGCAACTATCCACCTTTCCCCAGGCTCGGTTCAACGGCGGTTCTGGACCCAGCTCGTCATCAGGCTGGATCCGTGGGTGGTCATTGGTGCTGCATGGCACGCGAGCACCCCCATATGCTCAACTTCAACCCCAAGATCCCCACTCCAAACTTGCCGTAGTCAAGAAGGCGCATGAGGACAACGCCCTCACTCACTAAACTTCAAACCTTAATGCACAGGAGATACAGTTCAATATTGACTATTCATTAAATTACAGTGCTTGAATCTGTCTAACGTAAAGGGCTTAATGCCTTCCTTTCCTGTGAATACATATTTTGTTAGCCTCTATCTGCGACCCGCGGTTTTGCCTGCGTCGATTAGCATAAAAAGTATTCTGTGTTAATCTAAGACGTGGAATGGACCATCCATTTGTGTATCTAAGAACATCTTCATATAATTGCTACAATCCTTATAAATACAATACATTTTGTTTTTCTGTAATTCCGTTGGGATAAAATATTGTGATTTTTCTATTAGAAATATTGCTATAAAAATGAACTTTCTATGGGATAGGTTTAGTCCTCAGGAATGGCAACGCGTGAGGGCCCATGGTCGGCACAGTTTCTGTAATATTCATATACGTAAACGGCGGTTATCGTTTTCTATCAGCCCTGGTCCCTTAACCTGTTTGCCATTCCCAACAACAAAAATGTTAACATTTAAAATATTGTCTATATTGAGCTGAATCCCTTGTTTATAGTTAATGTACACTCACACGAAGTGACTTCCATCATTATTTTTCAAGGGAAACACAAATTGGGGACATAGGTACTAACATGTGTATTCAATATCTATATTTTTTGAAAAAATCTAAGTGAAATCTCATCCACTACTTTTGGCCAGTTTAGTTTACTTTAGATCTTTGAAATTCTGATAACAAATATATATATATATATATATATATGTATGTATCATCAACACGGAATTCTTCAATTATTATTACACCCAGCCATTGAAGAATTCCGTAATAACAGAAAGATAGTGGTGATGATGGTAGTGGCATAAAACTGATCAGATGATGAAGTGGAAAGTTTGAAAGGGTGTTTAAGTATTTTTCTAACATATTTTAATATAACAGAAATAGTGAAGTCTTGGCAATAGCTAATGAAGGGGAATATTTAGTCACTCCTATGAATGTACCTTAAAAGGTGGCGAGATAGTTTAGTGGATATCGCCGTACCCGACATTTGCATACGTTTAAACCAGTGGCGACATCTATAACTGGTTTTGTGTAAAGTGGACCTAGAAAGAACTGAACGTGTCTGTGAAATACTCTTAATGCTGGTAATTTGTGTTATTAGTATAACACTATAATAAGCATTAGAATGATGCGACAATTTGATTTGGATGGTTAATTTTTAAAGAGCATAGTCAATGATTTTCTAGGTTCATTGTAAAATAGATGGCGTTAGGTAGTGCAGCGAGGCTTTCTTGAACATTCTACGGTATAAGGATTACACATTTCTTCCATTTAAAATTGTTTATATACTTACCTACATATAATAGAGTTTCTATATTGGTAATCGAGTTGGTTCTATTTAAAACAAACATTAGTAGGTCTAGGTTTAATTTAAAATAAAACATTAAATTGTACTATCTTTTTTCAAATCTGTATCAATTTATGAATTTTGTACTATTCAGATTTTTATTTGCATGGCTACTGCCATACGTATATTTATTATAAATCTTACGCTTTTCAAAGCTTTCTGTGCACTATCTAGCGAGTGTATGTACCTACCAATCTCATACATATTTAGAATTAGATAAGCAATTTATTTTGAATAATAAACTATCTATTTAGGTACCTAGTGTATGTACCTCGCCATATATTTATAATTTTATTCACAGACAAATTTGTTTTAATTTTTCTGAAGTATGTACTTAGGTACCTACTTATTATTTATTAATATTTTTTTCGTTGAACTTGGGCAAATCACATTGAATCACATGTTATCTTAAATTAATTTCATGACATTTCATTTCTTATTTATCTAAACTAGTCTAAATGTTCAAGTTCCGGGTACAGTCGATAACAAAAGTGTTCACAAGTTTCGAGGAAAAATAAAAGAATAATATGTATATTGTGAACACGAATGTAATAAATTTTTTATTACTATAACTCTAAGTGTGCAAGTGACGTCAAAATAATATGGAGAAAGTAAAAATCTATAATGATGTACACGTTGAATAAAATATTCTTTTTCCATGGTATTTTAATGTAGGCGAGTTATTGTCACAATAGAATGCAATGCACTATTTAGGTCAATAGTTATCTCTATTCTTCTTTTAATAACAGTAATAATAATGTTAAATAGTGTATTGCATGTGATGGGTGTCAAAAGAAATGGGGACTTATATTTTTAGAAACATCTTTTAACAACATTATCCTTTTCATTGTTTTGTGAACTTTTCCTATTTTTAAAGATCGCACATTATTATTTTCTTATGACAATTAATAGTGAAATATGGATTACAAATACTAAAATTGTATTGTTAACGATGCACGTATTTTCATAGAGAAATTATTTATTTATCAAATTTATTACTGTTATAAATACGACAAGATTTAGTTCATTTTCTATATTATATAATATCGACCATAGTTAGGGAACATATCAATATCAAAATGTACCGAAGATCATAAATTAAAAAAATGTTTTATACCCATAACGTAAGAGAATGAGTAAGATTTATTATGAGTTCATTACTTGCTTCGATAAAAAAGTTGCAAGCAATTATAATCTAATTTTGTGAAGCATTATCTTCATTTATTAATAATTATAATAATATAAAAGAGAATTGTTTATGTACTATTTTTTTACAACGTTCATTAAATTATTCGTGTATATTTCGTCACTATATTTTCACTATAATTTATATACCTTTCTTATATTATTGTTGTATTTCAAATGAACTTATTTTAACCCAGCTAAATGAAGTTCATTTGAAATATTATTTCGGTTTTATATAATTATATGTGTCATTTAGCTTAATTATGGATAAATGATACATATAGTAAGACATATAAAGAGTATATTAGTAAATTTGTGGTTATTGAGTAAGATATAATAATGTATTTATAAACAGGATTAAAGAACTTGTTTTTGGGCCCAGTAACAGTGAATACAACTTAATATCAGGCTCTTTATGTCTATTTTCTTAAAATATAACTTTATTAAACACAAATTAAATATTACCAAGTGTTTTTAATCATATAAAATCCAAGTATTGTAACATTATGTAAGATCTTTATATTTAATAGCGTAATGGGCATGAAAAGTAGGCTACAAATAAATAGGATAATCGTTATAAGGGAATGAATTCATATAAAGAAAAAAATATAAAATGTATTAATATGATAATAGAAAATATAATGTGATTTGGTGTTGTATTTGAATTAAATGACGTTTTTGTAATTGTTACTCCTTTCCCTTTAAATATTTTCACATTCATTGTACCTTTTAAATAAGTAAACAATGATAAGTGCTAGATGAATTACAATGTTTTCAAATGAAGGAATCCTATACTATGGTATACCATACCATAACAACCGTTACTTGTCCACTGCTGAACATAGATATTTCGCTATCAGAAAGTGCCCTATGTAGTGAGTAATTTAAAAAAAATAGGATCTCTGGTCTTTACTATCTTCCATATATATATTAAGATCTAAAAATCTACATAGATCAGTGAGCGGTAGGACCACATAAGAAAAAGTTAAAGTTATAAAAAAAATTTAGATTTAAACTTTATTCCAATACAAAGTAAAAAAAAAACCATATAACCATAAGTAATTATCATTATCATATCAGATGTTAACTCTCCATTGCTAACGTAACTTAAATTACGTTTTACCTATAAGATCCCATTAAAGTTGTTAAATTAGGTAGGTACACTTTTGAATGCACAGTATCTATACGACATGAGAACTTATTGTGTGTTTTAAATTTAACAGTTTCATAGATGTAATTGAGTTATCCTGCAAATTGATACATGAAACAGACCTGTTTTTATTTACGTGACCGTAAAAATGTCACTTTTTTAAAAGTTTGTAATTCAAAATAAATAGGCATATAAATGTTTTTATTGCGTAAACATCTTTATAATAAATTAAACACTGGGTTAAAATGAAACCAAATATTAAATAAAAGTTGTATAATTACAATAGTTTTAACAATATTCATCGCATTAAATTTACAAGACAGGATATGGATATAATAAAAAAGTTAGCTATATTAACACTATATACAAATTGTGAGGGTTATGTTTAACTGTTCTCCTTGATTGAACTATTGGAACTGATTTTTAAACTTATAACTGTGTATGTATGTGTTAAAATATAATTAATATTATTAACATAAATTACGCTCGGACAAACAGACGTACTAACAGATTACAAAAATTGAAATTATAATACCGTTTTACAATTTTAAGATTGGGTTATTTACAAAAGAGACACGTCTATAGAAAGATATTTTATAATCAGCTTGTAAAAAATAGTTACAATAGTTCTATCAAAAAATATTGTTGAATTCAATCACTGTGTTCACATTAGGTACCTTAATGGGTAAGTATGGGGCGACGATACTCTATTTTTACATCTCATCTCGTGCTTTGTCCATTTTTTTTACATCTCATGCATGCATGTGTCCCAAACAGCACTGGAGACAAAATTAAGAACTTTTTTAGTTTAGATAGATCAATGCATATGTACTTAGAAAGATAGACTGGTATTGTTCGAATAGATTATACATATACAATTATCCAAAAAAGAAATGGAACTTCCAAAAGATTGTGATGATAGTGGACGAAGTAAAAGACGTGTCTATAATATGTAGGTGGAGGTACAAAGGCCTTAGAGATTTAGGTAAATTCATGTAACAACATATAAAAAAGATACTAAATGGCAACATTTTAGAATTTTAGGATATAAAATTATCATCATTTCACTGTGAGCATTATAATCTCAATAGAGATTAAAAAATATAGTACCTATTAATATAAAAAATATATACCAAAACATTTAAATAAAAAAGTCTACGTCTAAATAATTTCAACATTCAACTACCGTGGAATGTCATCATTAAATTCGTTATAATCAACAATTCTGTTCACAGTAGGTACCACGTAATTTGAACTTGTATTGTAATCACTAAAAGAGATAAATATCTCAATTTGCATAACTTTCACATAGTCTGTGTTCATTTTACCACTATTCACGTATTTTGTTTATATACAATTTGCGAGCGAATTAAGATCTGCTTCGCGACATTTCAAACGCCCATTTCATTGTAAGAGCGGCCATTTGGTACGTCAACAGCGCGTTCCGAAATCCCGTTGAGCCCGTTCATGTGGCCACGGGAGCTTAATTGTCAGAGATCTAGAAAAAAAATATAATTAAAGATTAAAATTTTTATTACTTTAGCCGGTAACTATCTGCTGCTGGACATAAGCCTTCCCCATAATGGGAGTTTTGCTAATAGTTGCCACGCTTGGCAGGCGGGTTGATAACCACAGTTAGGTTTTTAGTAATGTTTTAAGAGGGACGCTGCTGTCCATCCCTTGCCCTCCCTTAATCGATTCTTACGACGAAAAGGAAAAGGAAGAAGTGGCCTATTCTATGCCGGGATCAAAGGTACAATTTCATAAAACATTAGATACAAAAAAAAATTATTAAAAAATTCTTTCTTACCCATAGTTTCCTGCTGCAATTCTAGTTTGTACGCTGGATTATCATATGGCGGCAGCGACGATTCACGAGGAGCCGTGGGCAAGGCTAGAAAACATAATAAAATTCAAGTACTATTATTACAATCTTTTCTACCGTTGTGTTGAACATAACTCATACTCTTTACCAGAGGGAGACTTTGTACAAAACTCGTTTGCTTGGGCATCTCTGTCCAATTCGTGTTTCTGCCGTGAAGCAGTTGTGTTTGCATGTCTGTGTTTCGGTTTGAAGGGTGGGAAGTGGCAGTGAATTTATAGGGTACAGAAGAATAACACCTGAGTCATAGTGAGAATAACGCATGGGGGTATCATGGGAATGGTGGTGACTAGTATCACTACGCCGCTTGTATCACTTTCAGACACACTAGCCGTTACGATGTAGTTAGTTACTTCACATTAAATGTTTTTTAATATTATAAATATGAAAGTGAGTTTGTTTGTTGCTTTTAGCGCCTCAACGGTTTTTTTTAGTAGGTGATAATGGAATGGTAATCCCGCCTGCGCTATCGGTATACGCTGGCGGGGCACCAGTGAAGCATGATAGATGAGGATGAATGCAAGTCAGTTAGCTCATCGTGACGAAATCCACAAGAGGCGCCTCAACGGTTTAACCAATCACTATGAAATTTAGTATACAGGTACTATATGAAACAGAGAAAGAATTTTTTTATGCAACTTAGAATGGCAAACAAGCTAATGGTTCATCTGATGGAAAGTGGTAACCGTCGCCTATAGACATGAACATGGACATAACAGAGACCATACTATACCATGGATATATACTACTTTCTATCGTTGTCATGCGGACGAACTTGCGGGTAAAATATTCTTAAATACTTACGAGTGATGGCCACTGAGCGTGGTCGATGGCGGCGCACCACCACGAGCAGCAGTAGCAGCGACGTGAGGGCGCCCAGCGCCGCCACCACGCCCACCACCACCAGCGCGCCGTAGTAGTCACCACGCGGCCCGCTGCGGCTTCCCGACACGCCAGCCGCTTCGATTTCATCTAGGAAAGTAAAAGTGATATCTTTGTAGTGAGATGTGTTATCTTAATAATTAATTTTCAATCACACAACTTTTGGAAGTTGTAACTGTCGAGTTTGTAGCGAATTTTTCTTGGCAAATTTAAATTAAGCTGTAGAACAATATGAAATGAAGATCTAAATGAGCTTGTAAACAAATTCACTATATAACAATAAAGTTTTCTGTTGAATGTCTTTAAGATTGACAATGAGGTAACAAAATGAGGTAAGTAAAATAGGTATTTAATATAGGTATTATAGGTATAATATAAATAAATATTAATATTTTGGACCATAATACTCACTATCTACGGGTTCGGGAGAGTCCAAAGACTTCGTGTTGATCTCCAAAACGTTACTTGTCTTAACTTTACCATTCGTTAGGAACAACTCCAACCAGACTCGACACCTGTTATACAAAAAATAAATTAATCAACTGTAATAAAAATTTAAAATTAAGTCAAACGATATCCATAAGTATATCAACAGGGTTGTATCAGTTTTTGTTTTTCTAAGCATGATTATTAAACATGCTACACCAATTATTACAAAAATATTGTAAGATCCAATATAATTGGCTGATCATGATGAATTACTGATATCTGATCACGAAATGTGTGGAGATTTCGCCTAAGCGATCTACAAAGATTTCGAATGAGATTTCAAGCTTTGCAGGACTTTGAAAAGATCTGTAATGCTAGTTTAAGGTGATTTAAACGACTATTTGTTATAAAGTGTTTTGAAAATAGAGTAAATTCTCTGTATTTCTAATTCTAGAACTGTATTTATAAGAAAAGAGAAGAATAAACACGCTATTAAATTCAATTAATTTTAGGTTTAAAATGACCTAATTATTTGAGACATACTTGGCATTAGGCTCCAAGCCTGTAAGTGTGACAGACGGGGGAAGGTCTCTGGCTGCGAGTCTGAAGGCGTCGTGCTCTTTCCTCGGTGAAGGGGTGCCACACGCGTGTGCCGCTCGGTACACGCGTACCCAACGTTCTGCGGGGGACGGCACTCCACGCCATGTGAGCTCTGCAGCTTCCGAACCAACCGCTCGGGCCTCGATTGTTACCGTCCAGTTGTATGGATCTAAAATTTGTACATTTTTTATAACTTAGGGAATAAACGAATATGCGGCTCATCTGATGACAAGTGATTATCATCGTCCATGTAACTACACTTGCAACATCGCAGAAATTCTAGGTATTGCCGACCTTTTAAGAAGAAATATGCTTATTTCTTAAAGATTTCAATGTCGTATTTGTTCAGAAGTACTTGAAGTTGGTTCCATACTTTGGTTATGTATGCTTGTTGTTTGGTAGCATTTAAAAATTAAAATTTGTTTTAATTTTTTCCTTATAATTGTTTTTGTGAAATTTGAAATGACAAACAAGATAATGGCCCACATGAAAGTGGTAACCGTGTCCTATAAATATGAACAGGGCTATATCGCCATACTCATGCTACCTCTCATGCGTTTTTATTACAGAGAACTAAGGTATATTTGATACAATCACTCAATGGGTAATGAAAATTCATATTAACGTAGTATTTAGGATAGTGAAGGACGTAGATTATTCAGAAATCTTGAACACAACTGGAATAAAATTAAATCTTTTAACTTACCGACGTAAGGCAATGTAGTGAATTCAACTATTCCGGGATCATGTAATTCTGTGAGGGCTCTTGGCGGAGGTACCAATACGAGGGAGGCTTCGTATTGACTCCCTGGGCGTAAGTCGTGAAGTTCAGCCGTTGATCGACTATGATGAAGTAACTCCGTCATACTGTAGATTGGTGTGCCAACTGGACGATACCTGCAAAATATTTTTATTAATCGAAAGAATATCCCTATTAAAAAATTAAAGGTACAAAGAATCAATTGAATTCATCAAATAGTTTTTAGGCGTAATCGAATCGTGATCAAATAAAATCAATTGGAAATCTCAATTAATATATATTCTATGTACAGTAATATTTATTTGATATTTATTTAATTTATTAACTCAGCTACAGTAAAAGCAAGTCGGCATCAAATTTAAGCAAGCAAGTTTATCAAGAAAGGACTTCAGTACGTGTTATGAATAGATTTAAGTTGTCGATGCAATGTAGGACATAAGATTATGACACCTTATGGTCTGGAATTTGGTAATGCACGAATATTTTCTGTATCTGAGGATGGGAATTCCATGGGCATGTTATGGCGTGAACATAAGTTCTTACCTCCACATACAACGATTTCTAGTTCCACAAGAAGTATAAAAAATATAAACCAACCTGATTTGTATTCCATCAATGAATTGTAGTTCTTCTTCTGTGAAATGTCTCCAACTCATGTGGGCAGATGTATCATTCACTTCCATTACCGTTAGTTGGCTGTCAATTTCTCTTCGTTTCTCTTCTACTGATGCAATCTGATTAGAAAAAAAGATATAAAATATAGATTGATTCAAGTAATTAATCAAACAACGACTCTTTTTGTATACTAGCAGTATTTAAGCTCTCTTTAAACAGATTTTTTACAAGGCATGTATAGAAAACTTAGTTTTAAAGATCTTAATCCTTGCATATATCTCTTTTTAATTCGCTTCCATAGTCCGTTTACTGCATACATGTCGATTTCAAAATTTTTGATCTAGTCTATCATTCATTGTTAACTGTCCACTGCTGTACATAAGCCTTCCCCATATAGGAATTTTTGCCAGTAGTTGCCACGTTTGGCAGGTGAGTTAGCAATCACAGTTAGGCTTTTTTTAGAGATGTTTTAAGAGGAACGCTACTGTCCATCTATCTACGATTGAAGTCCTCTAGTCGCCTCTTACCACACCTACAGGAAAAGAAGGGGTATCCTATTCTATGCCGGGGCCTTTGGAGCATGTATTAATTCTATTAACGAAACAATTTCTTACCGTGGGCAGATCCAAAGTTCGGACGACACGAATCTCGCTTTCTGGTTCTACTGGCAAATTATGCAGGAACAGTTTCCCTCGGATTTTGTATGTGGTGGAAGGTTTCAAACCATTTAAAGAGAACTCTAGCCGAGGAGTAGTGAGGACCTCGTCGGTTGGAGCAAACACTTGCGAGTACCAATGCGATATGTCATCATCCCTAAAAAAGTGTTTAAAATAAATATTTAATACAATGATCAAAACCACAAATTGTTAAGATGTTGCATAGTATGTATTAACGGGAACACAAAAAAAAAAAATAAAGAAGGAAGATTTCTGTATTAACTAGATATGTTGTTCAACATATTTAGTTAATAATTCTATAAAAATCCATTTTAGATGCTACATTCAACGTAAATATTTATCATCAACTTTTATACTAATAATAGGATCACCATCATATATATTAATACTAATTTAACTTACGCTTGATCAGTGTATCTCAAATCAACGCTGCCTCTTAATCCGACCAGCACAGGTGGTAATCCGAACAGCATCTTGACACTTGTTGGGGAGTCCGCTTGCATGGATAACACGACTAGCTTCTTATTATCGTCTCCATATGCCGGTGGTATTGGGAGTCCTGGAGGTAAACCTGGTAATCCATCTATTGACGGATGATGAATGTTGTTCTGGCCATAATCAGGAATGTCTTCTTGAGGGAAGTGAATTTCAGGACGAACTGTCGGAAGGAATGGACGAGATGATTGTGATGGGAAATCAGATGGCATGATGTTACCTGAAAGTTGATTGTACAAATGTAATAGAGTAAATAGTTGTGTGTTTACTCTATTATAGATACTTGGGTTTTAGGTAACCATATTATAATGGCGGTTAATAAAAATATTACAGTTAAATAGTTGCATAAAGTAATGAAGGTTTTACATGTATACTAGCGTAAGTAATTTATTCCTACCGAGGTTGAAAAATACTATAGAAGAATGACGATTAATGACAATTGTACACAGTTACACTGTTTTTATTGTAAAATGATGATTACGTCAATCATCATCATCACTTTATGATTTTTTTATTGTAACTGATTGTGAGTATAAGTAACAAAATCAGTTTATCATAAAAACAATGGAACAAGTATTTTATTTATATTGCATAATCGATATTACGAAATTCCTTCAAAAAGTCACAACATAAACAGTGAAGTAAATATATGTTAGCTATATGAGAATGATAATATATCATGAAATATAAATGTTAGTCAACTGATAAATATTTTAAGTATACAGTCAGTCAATAGGAAGTTAAAAGTCAGTCCAGTCGGAGTAAGCCACAAGAATTATTACATTCACAGCTGACCTGACGCGACAGCATTCTTGTTTTTATCCGCTGACCGTCCAAGATTTCTATTTACTTCAGATTCCACTTCCATTTGATTTAATAAATGTTCTAAATCTAAAGCTGTATATGCTTTATCAGAATTATGTGGACCCTTTCCATTTAATGTTGGTGAAACTTCGATTTTAGTATTTGGTACAGCTCTTAGTAGCACTGTTTCATATGGATTGGGTACTTTACTTAATAAATGAGTTTTAGTATCTTGACCCCATAGATTGATATCGTTCACATTATTCGGTGGAATTGCTGTTTTGAAGTCTTTAGAACGAAGTATAGTTATATGTTTTCCACGCATATTGTAAAAAGGATGTTCTTGATTTTCTTTATTGTAAGTTGGAGAATCTGCTAAATCTTTTGATAACAGATATCTCGATGTTTGATTTTGTATAACAGGTTCGAAATAAAATTTTACTTTTTTAGGTGGAATTGTACTGGAAATATAAGCTATATTCTGAACTTTCGCTGAAGGCGGCGGGAACTCGTAAGCAGGTGAAAAATAGTTGCCAAATGTTTGCGAAGGTAGATTATTAATTGGGCCATGATCGGTTTTATCGACCACACCATTGGGAGTAATGTATGACTCTATAGGAAGCGGCTGTTTATTGACTGGTTCTTTAATTATATCATGCATTTTGACATCAGACAATATAAAATTAGGTTTATGATTTCTGTATAATTGTCTAGTTGGTTGCATATCAGAATGTAATTTAAAAGTATCCATTGTAGACGGTTTAACAATTTCCTGATGTTGCATCTCCCAGTGACTATTACTGCTAGTCAAGGATGTATCAGGATGAATAATTTTAAATGGCGATTCTAAATCATCCAAAGTGAATACTGTGATATTGTCGCCGTGTTTTGCAGATTCTATAGAATATTTAGGGATATCATTAAAAATAGGACTGGTCGTTTTGATTATTTTTGGGAAGCTTTTTACTGGACTTAAATGTTTATAGAAGTCAATGGGATCAGTCGCGTCTTGTGGTTGTGGTAGTACTGAGGTGGTCATCGGTGATAATGGAGCCACTGGCGTCACATAGTTGACAGATGATCCGCCAGTAGTTGACATATCATAATAAGATCCATTCGTGAATCCTGCTGTAAGTAATGAGCAAATGAATTAGTTCATGCATACTGTGATGACATGATGTATATAATTTTTAATACTCTTATGAATTTGTTATAAGAGTATTAAAACTGTTGTCATGCAATGATTTTTAAATGATATGGTTATTAATATGTTGTGAATTCAATAATGAGTTTTTGATAAGGTTTGCATTTGTGCGAGTAATGAATTCTGGTTAATAATGAGCTATTTTCAATGTTAAAGTTCAATATAAAAATATTTGTTCAACATACAGTTGTAAATAATATTCTCCTGTCCTTATAAAGAAAGTCGAATATATACGTTATATTCAACTTTTTTAATAACTGAATGTTACGTTTTGTTAATACAGATATTAAATTTAAATTAACGGTCACTGATCTGCAATTTGCACAACTGCCTAAAAAAGAAATGTTTTGAGAGTTTATGTAAGTTCACCGTAATTTTTGAACAGATTTCAATGTATAGGTTATCGTTAATATCGTTACATCATTCTGAGTAACAATGGCTATATTTCTCTTTAGATAGTTCATTTTATGGCAGTCGTGTTTTTTAATTTTCAGACCAAAATGTAAATACTTGTTGCATAAATAAATACGAGTGATGAGATCTTTCCAGTTATCCTTTGACTTACCATTAGGAACACACCCCCAGTGTTTACAGCAGTCATCGTCGGAAATGTTGACCGGTGCTGGTCTGTGCATAGGGGGACAGCGGAAGTTTGGAGGAGGGACTGGTGGGAGGGGACTGCATGCCTCCTGACAGTCCACCTCACCGTTCTCACAGAAACATCGCAGTTCACAACCAGTCAGGGATAGTGGTACTTCATTCCAATTTGGCACTCTGAAATTATTGAAATACATTTACATTCCTAATATTTTACACTTTACAAAATTTTAATGCGTAATTCTGCATTTAGGTATCTTAAATAATAAACGTAAGTTGAAAAAAATGCATATTTGAAAAACGTGGTTGTACTCTTCCCTGGTGTAACTGGAAATATATTTCGAATAGTAGAGGTGTGGGTTTGATCCCATCGGATTGAGTTGTTGGAAACTAATTTTCAATCCAATAATTTGAATAATAATTATTACACTTATTATAAGATGCTCGTTTCTCTACTTACAACATCTGGATAAACATAGAAAATTCATTTTCAGATTTATGACTAAGTTAGTTGGGAAAATGAATGTTTTGGTTTTGATACGTGATTTATCATTAAATATCCCGAAAGTTGCCGTCTGAAAGAAAGAAAGAGGTGAACCATTCTATACCGTTCCGACATACGCCACCCCTTTCTTTTCTGTGTGTATGGTAAGAGGCGACTAAGGGAACTTAATGGTCGAGGGATGGGCAGTAGTGTTCCTCTTAAAACATTACCAAAGTCTAATTGCGGTTGACAACTCGCCAGCCAAGCATAGCACCTACTGTTTTTTTTTTATAAATCGGTCAATAACTTACAAAACACCATTGTAGTTGCAGGTGCCGTTGCTGAGACAGCGGGCGGTACGCGGGCAGCAGTTGGGCGGCTGCGCGGGCGGCGACTTGTCCCAGCGCACGCAGCCGCGCGACATCAGCTCCAGACCCACGTGCGACGGGCACACCAGCGCCGCGCACTCGCGCTCATCATCGCCTGTACACTCGCACAGCTCCGTGCACCCGATGTGGAACTCCTCGCCTGTTTTATTTATTTCGGTATTAGAGGAAACCGTAAAGAATGACGTTCCATAGTAAAAAAAAGTAACCCATATTTCATGTGTCATGTAGCTCATAGTATTAAGATTATTCGAATGACAATCCACTTAGAAGAGTCACGTATCAAAAAGGTAAAGGGTTATAGTTTCGCTTGCCCCTTTTCTCTGCTTCAGCAACTAGTGATGCTGTCTGATTTGAAATTTACAAAACAATATAAAAATATTTTTACTAAGTCGAAATCTCGTTTATGTATTTATACAAGTGTTTTTTTAAAGTTGGTAGACAAATAGTGCTAGTTAAGAAAATTCTAGAGTAGAGAGTATATTAAAAAAAAAAATCTATTCTTTAGGATGAAATATTAACTCTTTCATCTGTGCTACGGACCGTTGTAGTTTCTCAGTGAAATCATAAAGGGTTGTGTTGTGTTAGTTATATATTTAAATTAGTAGTGATATTAAGATTACGATATTGTAAATCGAACATTAATTTTGCTAGTACTGATTCTGCTCAAAGCATAGAAAATTATTATTAATTGATTATTATTGATACCTATATTCATTTAAATAGTTTAAGTAACTTGTTCACTGGTAATTACTTTAAATTCATAATTTTCATTATTTGCAAAAAAAAAAAAACTCCTTACCAACGGCATAAAAATGTCCATCCTGGTAACAACCAATTTTGGTAGCATTACTGACATCTTCAGTAGGTACTTCATTCGCTACGCTATCAGTGGCCGTTATAGTAAAATTAAATTTAGTGCCAGTTTCCTTCGTTTTAAGTATGTAATCTTTGCCTCCTTCTAAATTCAAAATAAGATTAGAATACTTAAGTTCTACGTCTTTGAAACTCTTTCCTCCGTCGCTACTGAGTAATAAATGAATGGGGTCTTCACTATTGTTCATATGCATTAAATTTACTTGTACAGTATTGTTTTGTAACACTTTCACTGAGCCAATTGGCTCAGTTAGCACAAGTGGCCGCATTGTTGACTTAACAATGTTTTCTTCCGATTCTTCTGATCCTTTTGCAATCTGAAATTTTAATGAACACATGTTTATCAAAATTTTATAACCTATATTAATTACTAATTTATTTATTTAAACGATAGTTATAATAAGTATAGCCTAATATGACATTAGAAAGCCACAAATGCTTTTTTTAAGAACACAAATGACCTTATGTCGTCTATAAAAAAATAACTTAATGATTGAAATATAAGAACTCCAAAATAGAAGTTACACGTATGTATAAAATTTCATTTAATTTGTATTTTATATTCACGAACTGTAATGGAAAGAGAAACCTATCAATAACAAGATTTTATGCATCTGAATCTGACTCATATTACATTAGGTAATTTTATCGTAGTTCTTCTCTCTTCTCTCAAAGATTCACACTATGATAGAGAAGCCTTACATGGTATGAGCTGGCAGTGGTGGAGCTGGTGATGTTATCGATCTCCTCGTGAACATCTTGAGACACATCACACACTTGCACTTCGCAGCACGCATCCTTTGGGTCTTGTACGTTTATGCATTTGTCTGACGGCGGGATGGGGTTGCACCTAAAAATTACGTACATATTTCAAATATGTTGTATCAATAAATGGATAATTACCACTGGACAATTCTGAACTAAGTAAAACAAGTAGTACGGATACTAGAAAACTGATGGCAGTACTTAATTTTTTTTTTTTTATAAATACGTACATACTTGTATTTATACATGGAAAATATGTAGACCAATAAATATACTCATGAATTCATAAATGTCTGTATTGTGCAGGGATCCCGTAATTATTGGAAGGCAAAATGACGTGTGGAGCCAGTAGAATACTAAGGTCATTAAAATTACATAATACGTAACAAAACATTATCAAATTAATTTTTTATCTACGAACAAAGCGATTTGATAGTCAAATTGGAACACTACTACATTAAATGAATAGTCTATTTGATTAGTCTGCTTCTAGTAATGAGCGATTGACCCTCTTGTTTTTTATCACGGTTTTACCAATCCCTTATACGTGGTAAATGTTGTCGTTGACAGATGATACGGGCCTTGTGAGCTGATTAACTATTCTTAGGTCATTTGGAAATACTTTACATTGATAAAACAGCAAGGTTCAATGGCATGTAACCTTCAGACAGGGTTTCTTACATTGTATACCAAAATACAGACAGGATGACGTAATTCCGAATACCCATTCGCAGATACCATATCGATTGCATGACAATTCATGGGTTGTTTAAAGTAAATAATTGTAGCTAAATAATAAATGTGTAACCCCGGCATAACATAAGCCACTTCTTCTTTTCCTGTGGTTATCGTAAGAAGCGACTAAAGGAACTTAAAGGTCGAGAAATGGGCAGCAGTGTTTTCTTAAAACATCTCCAAGGCTTTACTGTGATTGGTAATTCGCCTGTTAAGTATGACAACTACTGGCAAAACTCCTCATTAGGGGAAGGCCTATGCTCAACACTAGATAATTAACGGTTAACATGGTAATACATATTAATAGTTTTTGTTTCTAGATTGCAGCTAATTGTCTGTAATAAACATTGCTAGTTTATTTAAAGACCTTTGAACTAAACCTTTGTATTACCTTGGTTTGCAGGTGACGATAGAGTTCCGTTCACATATGCATGACTGTTCGCAGCCGATGTTCCATTTAGAACCCACTGGATATGTGTCGTTACCATAACGACATACCTCCAATCTTGTGGGTTTCGGTTCTAGAAATAGTAGATATATTAATTAATATTTTTTATGATGATTATATTGGTAAAAGTGATGTTAATAAAGAACCACCTGGTGGTTAATGGTAACCATATTAACACGAGTAGCAGCGTGGATTTCACACATACTATGATGTCCATATATTGTTTTCGGAGAACTATTGCTTTTGATTTTGCTTCCTTAATAATATCACTGTCATATCTTAAAGTTTTATCAATATCAAAACTTTCATTACCTCCATTTCCAGTAGCACACGCGATTATAGAACAGCAGTCATCAACTGGCGACTCAAAGCACAGAGGATCGTTGAGCCGCCTACCACGGCGAATGTATGGATGTTTACACTTTGGAGAACATTCGAATACTCCTCCTGAGGTACATTCACAGGTTTCTTCACAACCTCGGTCCACGCGTTCGCCGATCTGAATTAGAAAACTTAGCATTTATCATTCCTAAAAATTCTTGATATCAGAGAGCGCCACCGTAATACAGGTAGTACTAGTATTCTATCAATTCCATATTCTACTAAATTACGAATTTGTGTAGATATTAATTTAACAATAATAACTTATATATATGGAGTTGCATTATTTGATCACTTATTCTCTTACGTGAGTTAGAAACAAACAATGAATACGTGATGATATAAATGTATCAATTACGAAAATAAACGTAGATAATAACATCCGGTACGGTAAAAAATAAATAAAATTCATTTCTACATTCACCTGAAATATTCTCCTCGCTAACATACACATAAATACATAAATAATTGTAGCCATATATAACATTATGTACGTACCTTGTATGTTACTTCGTTCTCTCTACAAGTATCCATTTCATCTGATCCTTTGTCAGCTGTCAATAAAGGATGAAATGGTGCTTGAAGATTGCTAAAGAATTTATCAGGTACATTATTATTCTTTGATTCGTTCCCTGCTATCCTCGAAGGTTCCTCTTCTTCTTCACCATCTAAATTGACATCACTTAAATCACCTAAATGTTTCTTATGGTCTCTTTCGTCAGTTTGATTGTGCAGTGCATTTGCAAAACTTTGTAAATCATCTACATTTAAATTAAGTAATCTAGGCTTAGGTTTAATTGATTCTGTAACATCTGCAACCACTGTAGTCACTTCTATTTCAGTTTTATTTTCTGTAGTTACATCAATCCTAACTGTAGATCGAGTCGGTGATGCCGTGGTTGTAGTTGGTGCTGCTGTAGCTGTAACTTCAATATTAGAAGCTGCTTGAGGTAGTACATCTTCATCTTCACTTATTATTTTACCTGCAATAAATAAAATGTTAAATTAATTATATTTTATATTATAGTTATTAGTATATTATCGGGTCTTAGTTTGTTTATTGTTTGTGTTGTGTTGTTCTAATATAATGCTAATATTATGCATTAAAGAGTATGCAGAAATTCTTGTAATTTTAATATGATAATATATGACTAATCTATTAAAGAAACAACTTTTTTAAATTATTTAGATTAGGTACATACGATTTATTAAAATAAAAGCAATATAGTTCAAATTCAATACATTGCTATACTTAAATACACATTATGTTTAAATCACTGATGAATAATAAATATATTAACCAAGATCACGAACTTCTACAAGCTACCATTTGGCGTGCATACTAATTACTATCACACGTATGGTCAAGTGTTCCAAATCATGCCTTTGACCAATGCATCCTGTTTTGTCAGAGGTGACACAATACATATTAAGTAATATGGGTAAATACAACGACACCATTCAAGCCCATTTCATAGTAATCGTCTTAATTTGCTAAAATAATTTTAAAACTGTTTAATTTTTAAAGATATAAGGGACCCAAATAACATACAATCTCACCAACCAAATAAGAAGAAAAAAGGAATTAATTTTTTTTATTTAGCATTTGAATGAAAAACTGAGTTCGAAAAATCATCTACATTAACTGGATTGTATTGTAAAATTTGTGTAATACTACAGAAACTTTTTTGAAATTTTCGTCTTTTGATAATGATGATTTTTTATACTTTTACATTTCATCTATATATCTTTAATTTCCCTATGCTAAACACGGGTCTCTAACGATGAAAAGGACAAACCTACTATGATACCATCATGATGCTTAGGTAGTTTTGTGTTTATTAATTTCTAGCTTTCCTTTACATGCATTGCTTTTTAGGATTTTGTCATTTATTAGATTTTAGGTCATCCAAGAAAATAAAAGGAATCACTATTCCTTTGTCAATGCGTCATAACGCTTTCTTTATCCTGTTACTACATGATCTTTATTTACAATTACATAGAAACTAAGCCTCATCAATAATCTCTACAAACTATCGGTTACCATAAGTAGACTGCGCGAAGTCTCTGGTAAAGTGGCGCAAGGTCAGTAGGATTCTGTGTCTATCTTCCTTGCGGTCAAGCGGCCATTAGACATAGCTTACTCATTTATGTTTTTACTACAAAATACTAAGCACAATCACTTGTCATGCCATAAAAATGATGGTGGATCGTAACAAAAATTTCTTGAACGTGTCGAATTAATCCGAATCGATATAACTGTCATCGGAGACTTGTCGATTGGAGATGAGATGCAAAGATTTTCATGCTGTTACTCTTTTCCCTATAACTTTCACTTTCGACTTTATACGCTATATTTTAAGACTTATATTCTTTTGTTAGTTGACGATATTAAATCTATATAAAAAAAAACAAGTGTCGATTTGGATATATTGCTACAGCACGTTTACAATAAGATAATTTGTGAACGTGAGAAAGCATTCGTAATTGAAATAACCACTGGTTATGTTTTAACGGGCACGCGAATTAACTTATTCTCTGTGAAGTATACGTGATAAAAAATTTACTGGCTTTTTGTTTTGTTTCGTTTACAGTGTGAAATGGTAAACAAGCTAACAATTAAAAGTGGTAACGGTTGCCTATAAACATGAATATGCACAGAATATACTGTGATATACATGCGTTGTCGTACCCGAGGACTATGGTGTTTTATCGCATACAAACATAATTTATTGGAGATACGAATGGAATACAGGTACTTATGCAGAAAACAATCAACAAGACTTTATAGACAAGTCTCCTGGTAAAAGTATTGTTCCTAAGAGTCCTACTTAATTATAATTATTTTTTTATTTAATGGTTATTCTGTTAATATTATGAATGTTATAGTTTAATTAATAATGCATAAAGGAGTTGGCTGTGTAGTCCCAGCATAGAATAAGCCATTTCTTCCTTTCCTGTGGGTGTCATAAGAGACGGCTAGAAGAAGACGAAGGATGGGCAACAACCTCTCTCTTAAAACACCTTCAAAGCCTAGCTGCCGTTGCCAATCCGCCTGCCAAGCGTGATTACTACTGGCAAAACCCACCAAGGGGGAGGCCTATGCTCAGTGGACAGTTAAAGGCTGGTATGATGATGATGATGTACATATAGAAGTACAATATTAGATGTATGTATTCGTACATGATCTAAGACTGTAGGTATAATTGTAAACATGGCGACATATTGTAATTAGTTACATGCATGTGGGCTTTTTATTAGCAACGACCTCACACTGACCTCATGGGTACTGTATGTAGGTTAGGTAAAGGACATAAAAACACCGGGTGAGACCGGTTCGCAGCCGAACGAGCCCGAGAACTCAGCTTGCTAATCACTGAATTAATGATACCGATACTTCATGGAATTACGCAATTGGTAGTCCTGGGAAGTTAAAAAAACCGTTCGAATTTATGTGACGTACCGAGGTGAATAGACATTTCGTGCGGATTGGCTTATATTAATGAACTAGTACACTTTTATTAACGGGATAAAGACTTTACGATGACCCAATGGGATATGAAAACACATCTTTCTGTCATCCAAGCTGAGTGTATTCTTAGTTACACCACGAAAGGAATATCATCGATCGGTAATTTTTACATCCAATTTTTTAAAAAATAGATAAAAAAAATGAACTTAAAATGGAATAAAAAATCTTTCGATAAACAAATAAAATAAACAAGTATTTTTTTAACCTGTTTACAATTTAGGATTCTTAAATGCAGGGAGTAACACATTTAAAAAATATTTTCGTTTTCATATTTATTTTGTTGCCATCGTAGTCGCTGTTTTTTATTTTTTTGTAGAACTATATGGGTTTAATGTGGCTATAGTAAAATCTATTTGTTCAGTAATGTAAATAAAACCGTTCAATTGCTTGTCGAATTTTTAACCTTTTTTTTTAATTGGATATAGACAATACATTTCATATTAGTTAACTACGTTTTTAAGCAGTTATTGACGTAGATAGATTCTTATAGACATGAGTAACCAACGACTTTCTTTTAACACAGGCGCATCTTACTGCGCCAGCTAATTGAGTTAACTCAAAATTGCTCTACGGCGCATAAGGTAACAGGTATCGCTGTACTGTATTTTTTAATATGTGCCAAAAATAAGCGACGAAGAAGAAAAAACCTCGCTCTGATTCCAATTTTAGTTTTTTTTTTTATTTATTATTTATATATTGAAGAGTACATTTATGTATTTTGAAATGAATCTCAATAACTCAACCCGCAAGTCCAATAAATTCTTCAAGCCTATTTTACTTTTTTTATTTGCAGCTCTGTGCGCCAACTCATTTTGAAGAAGTGAGTTGACATATCCAGCGCAGTAAAGTGAGTGCAATTGCACGACGTAGCATAGTGTTACCCATTTATTACCACTTTCGATCAGTTGGGCCGTTAGCTTGTTTGCTATTCTCAATTGCAGAAAAAAATAAAAAGTTAAATGACCAGCGCACTATTAGTCAAACATTTAAAAATCTTTACAAATTCACATGATTTTTAGTAGACAATTATTTAGTAATTCATCAGAGATTTACTGATAATACAATATTGTATTAGAAGGAATGGAATTGTCATGTTTACAAAACAAATATGTAAAAAAAAAACAATTAATGGAATTGTAACAGCGACATTTCCGCAGAGACCTTTTCACATGCATGTCTCAATGAGTGAGTAAAGTGGTGACACAACAGACGGCAGTATGCTAAGGCCACGTCCGGCTACGCGACCCGTTCACGTGGAAACACGGATTCACGGATATAAACGGATATTCTGTTCATACGCATGATGGAACCCATAAGGAAATCCGTAGACGCATATGCTTCAATGATAACAGGTGCTCCGATGATTTGTTAGCTCCGATTTATTTTTGTTCACACATGAACGAGTTCTTGAAGGCCGTCGAGAATTATTTTGACAACTTTGCGACGTCCTGTCGTAGGAATAGCCTTAATTATTATGCATATTGGTCACTTGCTAAACTTGAATCTTTAAAAAATACGTACTAAAATGTTATATGAATAACTAAACTTTTAATCGACATAAATAAATATTTTTTACAGAAAAAACAATCGCCAATTAACATTTTTCATAACTATTATAAAACAGATGAAAAGATAATAAGAATACAATAAGAAGGTTTTATTAGGTTTTATTTGTTCAACGGGTGCTAATGTATTACGCTGTGGGTTATTGTAATTGGCTAGCATTTAGTAAGTATGTAATATATAATGTAAAACACTGTTGTTCCAAACAAACTAAATAAATAAATAAACACGTGGTCTACAGATGAAAAAATAAGTTCTGAAATATAGGAAATTATTAAGCACGAGTGCAATTTCCAAATTCTCCAATACATCTGGTATTAAATATTAGTTTTCAACCGAATTCGAAAAAGGAGAAAATAATTGATCTTTTTTTAAGTCTATTACCAACTCAATCATTTAATAAATGTTGACTACTAATTTATAAATTGGAAACCAAGTTAGAAATTAATATAGAAATTAGTAGTAATTTTATCAATATATGTTCAGGAATTTAATTTTTACATCAATGGTTTCGGCACGATTGAAGTCTGTATTTTTTTTTTTGTGAAAATAAATCTTATTTGCAATCACTCATGGCAGTGCGGTAGCATTGACAACCGAACTGATAACGGCTAGAACGTAGATAATGTAATGTGCACCTCATTTAACAATAGTTAATACTATAATTATTGTAAACGTGTTGATTATTAACATTGTTAATATGAAAATAACTCATTATTGTATTGTGTTCACGATTAGAACATTCTGGCGTCACGACGTGTGTGTACTCATATTTGTATAAAATTCACGATTGTACAAGGTCAATGATGAACATTATTATGTCAATAAAAAATGCATTTAAACTTAAATTAAGTGGTACATATAAAAAAAAATAGTGAAACATAAATG